TTTGTGGTCAAACCTCTTGCCTTTGCCTCAGATTTAAGGGGGCAGGATGGTTTGGATAAACTATAGTGCAATCCAGAAATAAAGGCACAGGATGGTTTGGGTTGGAAGGGACCTGAAACTCATCCCATTCCACCCCTACCATGGGCAGGAACATCTTCCACTATCTCAGGTTGCTCCAAGCCCTGTCCAGCCTGGCCTTGGACACTTCCAGGGATCCAGGGGCAGCCACAGCTGCTCTGAGCACCCTGTGCCAGGGTTTCACTGGTTCAGTCAGTGCCATCTACTGAACAGTATTATTTTAGTATTTATTTTAGTCTTTTCCCCTAAAAAGGCTCATATTTGTAGCCATATCCAAATGTTAGTCTGTTTTATTGTAATACTGCTCCTGGAGAATGAAGAGTGCTCATAGCTCTTTTCTGGGCTGCCAGATCTTTAATCATAAACTCATTTTACTGTGAATGTAGTTGTTTAGCAGCAGAGAATTGTGGCTTTGGATTTTATTTGTGAAGCAGGAGAGTCCCTGCTGCTGCTGCAGCAATCCCCCTTTTCCAGGGACAGCTGGGTTACCTGTACTGCCACACAAATAGTGGCCACGTTCATCTGTCCTTTGTGCAGAGCTTCTGTCATACTGAGGAACATTCCACTACAAGTCAGGTGCTGTTTTAAACTTGCTTTGTTCTGTAAGCCTGGTGGATTGGAGAGTTCAGCCTCCATATCCATAGATACATAAATATGCCCTGTGTGGTCTCCCAAGGGGAAGGCAAAATGTGTTTTTAGTTAAGTTGCATGGGAATTTAATTGAAAGATTTAAGGCAAAGCCATAAAAGAGTAAATCATGGCTGCGTGACACAAAGAAGATTTATAAAGCCAAATAAAAATACTTTAGCACCTTCACTATTATAATTTGCTTGATATAAATGGAAACCCGTATTAGTCATTTTGTCTGCTGGTAATTAAAAAAAAAAGGGGGGGGCTTTTAGAGTTTACAGATTTTTGGTTGTTTGGAGTGAAATAATGGGGAAGACACTAGCAAAGGGCAGAGAATTCTGTGGACAGGTCACATCTCTGAACCTGCAAGTGCACTCAGCTTCCTTCCCAGGAATATTTATTTTAGTTAAGCACATGCTTAACTAATTTCACACAAGCAGCTCCTCAGAAGGACTGTGAACTGATTGAGAAGAAGCATGACCATGGCTTTAGACTGTAGCTTGTGTGGATGGTAGCCCTGAAATCTGGCCAGTCTCCAAGGCAGTGGGGCTACTGCACGTGGGACGGTCCTGCTCTGTGCAAGAAGGTCACTTGTCACACAGCAAAATCCTCAGAGATATTTTGGAGAGGAGAGCTGGGGCAGAGCTTTAGGAATGTGACCTTCAGCACAGGTTTAGTGAGGATTCACTCACTGTATTTATTGGAGAGCACTGTATATATTAAATGCTGCAGTGTTGATAGGTCTCGATAAGGACACCATAATAGCAGTTGAATTGTAGGGGGTTTTGTGAGATGGTAAGTTAATGATGTAGCTGTTAATTTGAATTTAGCAGACGTTTTAAATATAGGTTTCTCTTACAGAGACAAAAGTTGCAATTTAAAGCTCTTTGGTGGTCTAAAAACAGCTTAATTCTCTAGTAGCATGGTAATAAGTACTAATCCAGCTTATACAGTGATTGTAGTATGTCATGTTTGTGAAAGATTGCCTAACTCTGCTTTCTCTGGGTTTTATGTTAATTTTTTTAAATTAAACATAAAACCTTATAACATCTTTATGCTGAGATAAACTGTTCAATTTAACTTGTGCTCAAGCAGCAGCTGTCAGGAATTATCATGTTTTGAGCGTTCTTGCCATCACCTTGTGTCTCTACCTCCCGGATACACTCTGTGGGATGATAAAGCTCACCTTGTTAGGATTTATTACTTAAATAATAACCCGAGATAAAATGAAAGTTGATGTCACACGGAATGACAACTGACATATATTTATGTCGCACGTTCCATTATAATAAACTTTCCTTTCTTCCCCTTGTAATAGGTGTTAAATGGAAATACACTCCAGCATATCCTCCAGTGCCCTGCGTGAGTCCATTAGCCATGAACGCGGCTGCTCTGTGGGCATGTTCACAGGGACCCGTGCTGTCAGGTGCTATTTAAGCTTGTAAAGCCAGGGAAATTGGTTAGTGCTGGTAGTTAGCAGCTTCTCTGCCAGTAAAGAAGCAGCCACGAGAGCCTCTCAGAGTCGGGATAAATTCTGAAAGTGCTGCAGAGTAACGGAACTGAATCGAGGAGGGCGTTTCCTAATCAATGATTTAATTTTAATTCTTTTCCTTGCTGTAAGAAGCACAGGAATGTCATTTCAGGCTCTACATCTGAATTTGCTAGTCGTCACCACAGTTTTCTCTTGACACCACTTTATTTTGCTGAGCTGGGCAGTGATAAGCGATCTGCTTGTTAGTTGCGTCTTATCACTTTCTATTTACAGTGGAGGAAATTTAGATCTACCTCTTGCAAGCTTTCCAAGTTTTCAGCCTTTTTTGCCGTGCTAGAAGCCAGGCTCCATTGTGCTCTAATGATGCTATTGAATTCCTCCAGTTTGCCTAAGCCAAGACTGGAGATGCTGGGATTTTTGCCTGTGGCTATGGCCATAATTTTTTTTCTCCTAATTATTCCATTGTTGATCTGAGCAAGTTAAGATGCATCAGAGCTACATGGTTTTATCCAAGCTTATTTCTTGGATCTCTTCTCATTGTGTTCTCCATTGTCCTTTTCTCTCCAGTCAGTGTGTTAACCTTGGCACCTCCACTGTCTGCACTTCCCACCCTTGCTCTGTGCTGGTTTCCCTGGTTTCAGTCCCAATGTGCTGCCTTGTTCCCCTTTCTTCCTTCAAACTCAGCCAGGTTCATCAATACCATCCTGTATCAATTCTGTTTTCTTCCCTAACTCATGGCAGAAAAGAATTTTTTGAAAAATCAGTAAAGGGAAAGATAAACTATAATGCAATCCAGAAATGGAGTCCTAGAATGGTTTGGGGTGGAAAGGACCTTAAAACTCATCTTGTTCCATTCCCCTGCCATGGACAGAGACTTTTTCCACTGTCCCAGGCCGCTCTAAGCCCTATCCAACCTGGCCTTGGATGCTTCCAGGGATCCAGGGGCATCCACAGCTTCTCTGGGCACCCTGTGCCAGGCCCTCACCATGCTCACAGGGTCTCTTCCTATTTCTTCCTTTATCTAATGTGGACCTATCCTTTTTTAGTATGAAGCCATTCTCCCTTGTCCTGTCAATAGCCAAAATTTTTCCAAGCATTTCCTCTCATTTTTGCACGTTTTGGGATATGTTTTCTTTAGTTTGCATTTTTCTTTGTCACTGTGGTGCTGGGCAGGGATTTCACATTGCCCCCAGTAAGCTTTTCCTGCTCTGCTTTGAGCCTGGCACCCAGGTTATTATGAGGTCCAGAGGTCATTACTCACAGTGACAAATAAGTAATGACTTACCTAAAACTATTTTTTCCTCCTAGTATGGCTCGTAATAAACTTGAGCTCATATCTTAATTGGCATTCTGTGTGACAGGCCCTTTAGAACCATCAAATATTTGATGAACAAGGCAATAACAGTCATCTCTTACTTTTGTAAGCCTTTCAGATCAGCATTGACCCAGGTTGATGAAGATGGATACAGGATCTATGCTCTAGGAAGTGTTTGTTCTGTAGATACAGGTTATCTAAGAAGGGTGTAAGTTAGCAGAGATATGATATGATATTTATGATCTAGATGGATGTTTGGGGAAATTCATGAGTTTTGAGGTTGGCAGCCAGAATCAGAAGTTTATCATATTAGTGATGTCAGTTTGGCAGTCATCTTGAACACAAAATTCATGTAAAAATAGCAAGAATGGGAATAACAGTATGGAAAAAAAACCCCAAAACCCTTAGAAAAAATATTTTCAAAGAATAAAACATTGCATAAATCAGTTCTGAATCTGAATTACTAAAATGATGGATAGCAAAAAAAAAAAAAAAAAACAATTCAAAAACAGTCTCTGTTGAAAAGCAGTTTATTAAATTTAATGTTCTATCTGTAATAGATACCCAATCTCAATTGTTTCTTTCTTCTGTGATAAGAAATCCAGGACACAAATATATGAGGCTCTTCAGCTCTGTGCAAGTTCAGGTTTCACTTTGCTTGGAAGCAGTGCTAGCCAGGGGCCAGGAGATGCTCTCATGTTTTTGGTGAAATGCAGGGAAATCTACCACTGGTTACAGTAGGGTCAGGATTTCATATTACACATTTATATACATTCATTTTCTGATAGCCTGGGAAGTTACACAAGGCTAAAATAGCAGCTTGTTAGTGGTGTTTGTGCCTGCTTTATCTAATTGAAGGATGTGTGCAGTGTTGTGGACTGTGGAATAGCAGGAGTGCAGTGGCAGGACTGGGGTGCAAGGGTAATTTCCCTCTATAAGGAAATGTAGAGAATACCTAATAAAAATGTGAAAATAAAACAGAAAAAGTGTGGGAAAAAAAAAAAAGGCAAGCAGACCATACTAGATAAGTACAGTGCATAAATCAAAAGGGTTTATGTCATAACATGAACATGTGCCATTCCTGCTCATATATTGAATTTCAGTAGTTGGTTGCATAAAGAAGTAAAATGTAATGAAACTGGCAAGCAAAGTATTCCCTAGCCAGCCTTATCTTTGTTCCATTTGTCCTTCAGATACAGCTTTTCTTGCCTTTTTCAATAAAATCCATCCAGCTTTTTTTTTTTTTATTATTTTGCATCTCTCTGTAACTGAGCTGGGAAGACCGATGAGATTCGGTGCTTTTCTAGTTGGGTTCTGAGCAGCTGTTTTTTAAGAGATCAAAACTTCGAGTGCTGCTACATGGTATTAAGGCTTAGCTATTGATGTGTCCCTATAGGGGTTATGTTTTTCTTGGGGGGGAGGCAGTGGGGAGCAGGGGAGGGGTGACCCCTGCGAGCAGTAAACACTGCTCTCCTTGTTTTGCAGGATCCTCTTTGCAAGCTCGGTGCTTAACCTGGCTGAACTCGCTGCCCTGCGCCCTGACCTTGGCAAATTGAAAAAGGTCCTCTACTTCCATGAGAACCAATTGGCATATCCTGTCCAGAAATGCCAGGAAAGGGATTTTCAGTATGGATACAACCAAATTCTTTCATGGTAGGTATGGCTCACGCTGCTCCTCGCTATTTAAGGTGTCCTCCTGTCTCTACAGCATTGTAACCCTGAGGAGTCCTTCTCCATATACTTTTTTTGGTATTAATTATAATTCTATTTTTAATTTGTATTGCTTTTTAAAATTAATTATTTTGTATTAATGTTTTGCAAGTCCATGTGGTGGCAGGAGATGAAGGATCGACCTCAAATGGAGAGTAGATAGTAGGTTTAGATGGGATATTAGGAAGCAACTCTTCCCTGTGAGGGTGGGGAGGTCCTGGCACAGGGTGCCCAGAGAAGCTGTGGCTGCCCCTGGATCCCTGGAAGTGTCCAAGTCCAGGCTGGATGGGGCTTGGAGCAGCCTGGGGAAGTGGAAGATGTCCTATGGCAGGGGGTGGTGCTGGTTGAGCTTTTAGGTCCCTTCCAATCCAGGTTATTCTGTGATTCTATAAACGATAACCCTGTACGAAACTGAGGTACCAGCAGAGTTCTGAGGAGAGCTTGATAAAATCAGTGTGACTGAACCACTTTGCTCTAAAAAATCATCTCAATTTATTGTATAAAGTCCCCCATGCTGCCAAGGTGTACCCATTGCTGGTGGGATTTCTGACCTGTGCCTTGGCTGAAAGTGATGCTTTGTTTCATGGATGCTTCACAAAGCTGCACTACTCAGCTCGTGCTTGGCCATAGCTTTTACTGCATCCATCTGAAATTATGGAGAGGGTTTTAGGGAAATAAACAGAAATTAAAATGTACTGCAGCACTTTTCCTGTGAAGAGAGGGCAGTAAACATACCAGATAAATCCTTATATTTCTTTCATCTAGTATTCAGAAATTGTGCAGTGCTAAAATACCCAGACATTTTAAAGGCTGTGGTCCTTTATTGTTGCCAAAAACAAATGTATTTCTCGAATCTGAGTTAATGAAAGAAGTTAATAACAGCACCACTGAAAAGCTTTGTGGTTAGGCACTGCACAGACCTAAGCCAAACAGCAAAACTCACTTGTTTTCAACTGAAATAAATTCATTTCCATTATCTTCCTTACCTCTATCTTGGTTGAAGAATTATAAAGAATAGGGCTTGAGCATTTTAAGGTGCAAGTTAAGCTTTTGCATCTTTATAATCTAAGGCAGTTACGTTGAAATTTCTCAATTAATGATCTGTGTATGCTCTGGCCATTCTGCAGCTGCCTCTGCCACAGTGTTTGCAACATGTTTCACTTACTGAGCTGTAAAGATGGGAGAGTGGAGTGAAAAATCTTCTGAAAACAGTAGCAGCCATTTTCAGATGTTCTAACAAAAGGAAGTGTTTTCTGGCACTAGGAAAGGAATTTTTTTTTTTTTTGTATATATATTTTGCTTTATTGTGGCAGTTATTTTTCATACATCTGTTGTAAACTGACAAACATTTATCCTCAAAATATGCATTTTAAGTATCTTCTCTTATGAGATAAATAAAGATGATTTTTGTGGCTCACAGAATCATGGAATGGTTTGGGTTGGAAGAGATTCTGAAGCCCACCTCAATCCAACACCCTGTCATGGGCAGGGGCACATTCCACTAGACCAGGTTTCTCCAAGCCCATCCAACCTGGCTTTGGACACTTCCAGGGATGGGGCAAGAGATGTTAAATTCTGTCCCATTCAGCCTCCAGTATCTGCTTCATGTAGTTCCATAATATTAATCTCCCATTTCTGTTCTGCTGAAACCCCAATCTAACAGAAAATTGGAGCCATGTTCTCTGTATTATTCTTCACACTCCAGTGGTCATCTGCAAAGAGGTGCCATAATTTCATCTTCCAAATATGTTAGAAATGGGGAAAATGTACCTTTCCACTTTTACACAGAGGCTTTGGAGATTATTAAAATTAGAGCACTTTGAACCTTCAGGTTGGTGCTTTGGATCGTTAAAAAATCAGAATTCTGATGTTTCTAAAGAGTTAATCTTTCTAATTTGCCCCTGATTTGCAGAGCCTGCAGGAGGGAGTCAGGGAAGGTAAGAGTTCATGCAGGAGAGAAGGTGAGATGATGTTGGAGCCTTTGCTGCGTGTCAGAGAGCAGCAAAGAAATGTGTCGGGTTCCTGCCTCATGTCATCTGCAAATCAGTGCAGAAAAGATGATTTCTGTACAAAACTGAGGCTTCCAACGGGTTAAAAACTGTAGGTGGGCAAGAGGGTAAGATGCCAGAAAGCATTTCAGCTCCTGCAGCCAGCTTGAAAAGGATTATTTCTCTCTAATGTTGGAGTTTCTTTGCTTTTCCTGCTGACTCCTGCTGCTTTGGTGAGCAGTGTCAGTTCTCTTTCTTGACCAGACAGCAGAAAGATGCAGAGAGGATGAATGACAGCCTCTCACCTCAAATATACTTTTCACCAGCCCTGTGACTTATGAACACATGTCCTCAATGTATCTTCTGACCTGTAGGTCTGTATTACAATATATAACATATTGAGAAAACCAACTGGCCATAAAGCATTTCTTACCTCAGTTAGTGCTGGTGTAGCTCAGGTTGTGGCAGCACTGCTGGGATAAACTTCCAGATCCTTCAGGTTTTTTATAGACTGACTCTAAGAGTGGAGAAATAATACCTGCATTACCATTGAACTCCCATCTTCTAATTATTGATTTTTAAAACACAGCAGTAGAAATAAAACATTAAATTTATATGCCAGTTCTTTTCAAACTTTTATGAGAGGGATGGATATTGTATGCTGTGTATTTTATTTTTATATATAGAGGATATACTCTTAATCAGGATTGTGTTTGCATAGGTTAAAATAACAATCCATTTCCTTAGTGTCCTGCTGCCTGACACACATGGTCAGTTGAAGGTAGGTTAACCAAAGGTAAGTTGTCCTTCAATAAAAAGTATTTCTGAGGAATTTTCATTTTCTTCTGACTTTAATTCTACAAAAGTCAGATTACAGTGATCTTTATCTGTTCATAATGCTTCTGAGAGATGATGAGAGTAACAATATACTTATCATTTTATGAACAAAACTCCACAGCTAGAATAGGATGTGCTCCTTTAGATTAATAATAGTATTCTTTCATTAGTTAAAAAAGGTTAAACATGTTTTTAAAAGGTGAATAGAGGGAAATTAAGACATTTCTGATTAAGGTACTTATGATACTCATAATTCACATGAAAAGGTTGATTTTAATTAGCATCCACTTACACCTTTTGCTTGCTTATGAGAATCTGTATCCTATTTCCTTTGCCTGTAGCATAATCCTGTTCCTTTTGTGCCAGCAGTATGTTCATTAATCTTCACCGCTTTTTGCAGTTTGGTTGCTGATGTTGTGGTGTTCAACTCTGCTTTTAATATGGAATCCTTTCTTAAATCCATTGGAAAATTTATGAAGCTGATTCCTGACCACAGACCTAAGGATTTGGAAAAAATAATCAGACCGAAGTGCCAAGTTCTTTATTTTCCAGTCAGGTTTCCTGATGTGAGCAGGTCAGTACATTTTCCACGTCATAAATTGCCTCCAGCCTGTCAAAACTCTGTATTTATGGTGACGTTCTAACTAATCAGCTAAAGCATCGTTAATGAATGAGTTTGATAATATGCAAAATCCCCTAATTGATAAATGTATTTCAATAATCAGGGGCTATTGAGGCAGCCGAGCCTGTCCTCAGTGCCTGTCGTGCAAACTTGCATTGTTCAGGATGAGTGATTTCCCACTTGTTGTGGTGATTTCCCACTTGTTTCAGCCTTCCAGGAGTTGCCTGCTCCTCAGTGATGAGTTTCTGGGGTTTTTTTCTTAGGGTTGGGATTAAATGTGTGAGATGGTATTTTTTGTTTGGATTTAGATGTTTATTAGTGTTTATTTATATTACAGCAAGGTTTATAGTATTTTAATAAATTAAAAAGGTAGTATTTTAATAAATTAAAAAGGGATTTTTTTCTTTATAAGTTTTTTTTTAAGGAAAAATTGTTTACTTAAGAAATGATACTGAAATGATTTTTATTTTTAATTTACTTGTGGTTTGTAATGTGGATTTTTAAAAAATTAATTATATAATATTACTTAAATTTATGAAGAAGGTGAAGAAGAAGGATTAGCTTTTATTTTAAAACTTCTATTTTGCTTTAGATCTATTATTATATTTTAAAACTTTAAGTTCTGAGATTTTTTCTATGTGATATTACACATTGTTATTTACACACTTATGATAAAATTACACACGATTTTAGTTTTATTTAATTTTGGAAGTTTTCTTTATGGTTTTAGGTTAAATGTAGGGTTTTCTTGGGGATCAGTGTTTGTTTAGACAACAATTTTAGACAGAAAGTCTAAAATTCTCGAGTAAGCAGGGTTCCAACACCTCGGCTCTGAGCATATTTGTGCAGGGGAGGTCGAGGAGGAGACAGTCATGCTGGAGAGCAGTGAAGGTGACAAGGAGCTGTTTTACCCCTTCCCCTACCCCTTTTAGTGCCTGGCCAGGTGGGCAGGAGCATTCCTGTGGCAGGAGCAGCCCTGCAGATGTTGGCATTTGCTGCAGCAGGAGTTGCTCTTCGCTCCTCCTCGGATACTCTGAAGGACGTTTTTTATTGCCCTCGTTTCAGAGCCCGCCTTGAAATTAGCAGTGGGTTATGTGGCTCAAAGGGAACATTCACAGGATCCTTTTCACTTTTGATTAAACCTGGCACAATTGTTTTTCCTGTTATAAGGGACTCTCCTCCCACTGAACAGGAACTTTGCTTCAGTGGGACCAGCACTAAATAGAGTGTGATTCTGCAATTTGATTATGCTCTTAAACCCAACACCGTGCTGGGTACGTTTTTTTTGCTGAAATAAGGGTGGGAAGCACTGCAATGACTTTGCAAGAGCCCACCTTTTGGTCTGATAATAAGTTCTAGACACACTTGAGATGTTTTCCCTGACCAGCCTATACTTAGACTTATTTCAAAGGCTAAATATACATGTGTGGTAGCTTGAGGTAGAGAAATTTTTAGTGCAGGAGCTGAGGTCGTGTACTAGCTGATGTACTTATACTGCAAGGTTTGAGTTTCAGTGTCTTGGAAAACTTTGTATTCTAAAATACTGATGCAAATCATTTAGAAATCAATGTCTAAAGTTAAATCTTTGCACGTCTATTTTTGGCAAGTGGGTTAAAATCCTCCAGTGTTTCTTAGAGACTTGTCTGCCTGGATGGCAGCGTAGTTCAGTACCTGCATATCTTTGAGGATCTACTACTCATTCTGAGAGTCCAGAGCTTTTGAGCACGGGGAATGCTGTGGGTGCTCAGCATATTTGATGTGGAGCCAGATCCAGAGGCTCTCAGGGTTTTGGCATACCTTAGGAATCATGTGGCCCAGACCTAGTTTTGGAGATGAAGTTATGATAACCCTGTCTCGTATATTACATCATCTCTTTTAGACTTGTCAGCCTTGGCAGATGGGGTCAGACAAGATCTGACAAATTAGGCTGAAGTCATCATATGCACAGCACTCATTTGTCCAAAGCAGGAGGTGATTAGGTGGGTAAAATCATGAGCCTGCTACCTAAACTGGTACAGCAGGAAGCTCTCAGATCTGACAGTGTGCTCTTTTGGAGTCCTGCTCTCATATTAAATCCCATCTCACAAGGCAGGGCGCCTTTCCCATTTTATTGTGGTCACTGCACTTGGGATTAGATCAGAAACCTCTTTTCAACACTGATGGGAAAGATTAAGATATTCATAAACAACTGTGTGACAATAAAACTTCCACAGCAGAGTGATTAGGAACAAAAACTAATGTCAGCTCTATTATATCTATTTTATTCAACAGCTAATTCTAGATATAAGATCTGAGGTGTTTAGACAAAGTCCAGTGCAAGACAACAGGAAAAAATCTGAAGAAAAGAAAAGGCTGCTTCTGCCTGACTCTGAAGTTCTTTGGGTTTTGACCTTCAGCTGCAGCCAAAATTTGCTATTTCTTTACATGTTTTACATAAAGTTGAATGCACCTATGGCAATTCAAAGCTGGTTTTTTAATTTGGATTGTATTAGTATAGTGACTGAATGGAGATTGAGGAGAAAAAGGTTAAGAAAAATTGTGGCCAAGCTAAAATTTATAAAGCAAGCTCTTAGCCCAGAGTGATTTTCAAGTTATTTTCAAATGGTAATTTGCTTTATCCAAACCAAACTCATACAGTGTAAGTAAGTGATTATTTGCATGACTGACAATCATTTCAGTGCCTGCAGTCTTTTTAAAATGCATAATTTTGCTGAGATGTTGGGAAAATACTTAAAAATTCTGAAGGCAAAATAACCAGGGTGGGTTTTTTATTTTTTTATTTTGACCTCTTTAATTTTGCGTGTGAATGTCTCAGTGTGTGTTCTTGTCTGAAACATAATCTACCTTTGGGTTGGGGAGAGAGAGGTGATCTGAGAAATCATCCTTACATGTGTGATGGGGAGCTTTTTAAGATTATTTTAGATTAATATTGCAGTTGTAGGGCAAAATAAAATACATCTGAGCCTTGATCAAAACCAATGTAATGAAGGATCATGTCACAGGAGTTAATCCTGTAAAATATCTACCTTTTAATGTAATTACTGTAGGTGATGGCCACAAACAGCACAAGCAGCATAGTAAATGATCACTTAAGAGGAGAGGTATAATGATGAAAGATATCCTAGGAAACACTTGTGGATACTCTGAGAGGCACCACTATAATTTGTAGTGTGTATTTAAATATTTCAAATGGGCCTCTAATGGGCTTTTCTACTTCTGAGGGAAGTTGTTGATGCTTTTTTGTAAAGAATCTTTTTTTTTTTAATAAATGTTTGTCATTAGGAGTCGTGTTGGTGTTCCAAAGCAAACCCAGCAGACTGTGGTCCTTATCTGGCAATGAGAAGAGATGAAAGGATTTGAGGATTTGACAGAATAAGATATTTACTGACCTAATCCTCCTGTTTTCTGGTTCTGACAATGACTGGTTTCCATATTATATCCTGTGGTGCCAAGGCTGCTCTGTGTATAGCCACCCTATATGATTTCTGGCTTGAATTCTGCTCTTTGTCCATTCTGGTGAGGTATATGATGTGGGAGTAAATAGTAGAGTATTTCTGAGCTTCGAGACAAAAATCCCCCCTGAATTCAGTCTGTCCCTTCTCAGTGCATTGTGTTGCAAAGGATGGAGAGCAGTGGCTGATCTGCCACGTGTGCTCTGTGTCAGACTGGGGGTTTATAGCACAGAGTTAAATACATCGTAATTCACACTTACCTGGCTATTGACTTCATTTTAGTATCTTCTCTGTTGTAACAGAAATAAAATCCAATTTATTTTTCGCTCAATAGATCAATTTTTTTTTACGATCAATGGAGTCTATTTTGATACAACCTTTTCCACTTTTGCACTGTAAAATGATGGTCAAGGAAGAAATTCCCTTTTGACTGGTGTTGTCTTTGGTACTTCTCTACATGCCAGCAGAGCCCTCTGGAAAACTTCTGCAAGGTCTTTGTGGATATTTGGATATCCACTGGACCATTATCCTGGTCTAGTGGAAGGTGTCTCTGCCTGTGGCAGAACTTGATGATCTTTAAGCTCCCTTCCAGCTCAATCCATTCCATGGTTCTATGATATTATAGGAATTCTCTCATCCCACCTGTGCCCGCATTGTCAGTGGCAGTTTGCAAAGCAGGGTCAGATTAGGTACTCCTTGAAATTCATTCCAATGAAAATTTCAATTTAGATTTTGGTTATTATTACTATTCCTCTGATTGTAGTATATCTTTATTGTTATCACAATGTGGTAGGAAAGGAAGACGTTTTTATAAGCAAGAATGTAGTAACGTTCCTAAGAGCTCAAAATTCACATTGGACTGAGGTGGAATAATATAAAAGAAACATGAGAGTATGAGGATTACAGCAGAAAATAAAAACTGCTTTTTTTTTTTTTTTTTTTAAGTGGAACTTGTATTATCGGCATTACACATTTTGAAGTAGAATTAAAGATTTTAGACTTGTTTCTTCATTTGCTTTTATAACTTAGTGCAGTTAACAGGACATTCTCAACCATTTGGGCTTACATTTTTTTAGTTATAGTGTGAGAGAGGCAGAATTTGCCAATTCAGAGAGTATTTTAGGGCCAGTCAAGGGAGCTCCTGAGTAAAGCAGAAGTTTATAAAAGACACTGACACTATTTCTTGTGCTGAAACACATGTAAAGGAGCCTGTTTTGGAGAAGCAAAAAATGTTAAATAAATTAATTGCATCACTTGGCTCAGGTTTACAGGGCTGAACTTAACTGGAAAAATGCAGATGTCAATGAGCAGGGAGAGACTGGAATTCAGAGGAGCCCAGAGCTATGGATGGGCACTGGGGACGTGTCTGTTGCAGGGAAAGCTGCTCAGCAGTGGTACCCATGTGAGCTGTAGTGAACTGTCTTGCATGTGGGAAGCCATAGATAGCTTAGAAGAGCAGTTTCTGGCTAATTAGCCTTCCAGTGAAATAGCATGTATTAG